TAAGTGCCGAAGTCTGAGTCCAGCGAGACTATCACAGTGACACAGAATGTGTTCTGCTGCTTCCTCTTTTTCATGACAAAGTCTGCAGCTATCATCTCTTATGATACTTTGTTTCAATAGATTCTTCTTAACTCCGCAATGTCGAGCGAGAAATCCGAATACCTTTCCTGCATTAGCAGCTTCTTGCTTTGGCTTTTGAGCGATTTGGCATGAATTCTTTAACTTGTCTGTAGTTACATTATCCCAATTAGTCTAAGCTGATCTTTCCAGTCGCTATTATATGATAAGTTTAGTATTTAATTGTGTCATATAAGCTATTTCTATTTTTATTTCTATTTATCACCAATAAATTTTTTTTGTCTTTTCGATACTATTTTTTGTAATCGGTATCTGTCGTTTTTTGTCACTAGATGGTGCTGGTATTCATATATCTGGCAACACTAAATCAATTATCTTAAAAGCACATATTCTTGTCGTATCTTGTTATATTACTTACACATAAAAGTAATAGGTTTTGTATTGTGTTTGATATATACTATAATTGAAAATGGTAGGAACCAAACATTTTTGTCGTAACATATATAAAGGTGTTGATTTTAAATACTAACATAAAAATATATAAAAAATAATATATATGAAAAAGTCTTTAAAATATTATCTGAATATAGAGTGTCGAAAAGTCTTAAAAGAATTTGTTTTTAAATTTTTTAAAATTTTTCTCTAAATTAAGAACAAATTTATTGCCATAATTCAATGCTATATTTTTGTTTGTCTTTTTTTTTAAGAATGGACTTATTAAATCATTTGTTTTTTCTTTTATCGCTCGGCCATGATTATTATAGCCACTTAAATAAATATGATACCCATTAAAATGTCTTTTGTATTTTTATAATTTTACGAAACTTTGTGGTAATTATTTTTGTTAATTACTGCTGCAGATTGATAGTTACTTGGAAATTATGTTGTAACTGCTGGAATTTATTATTAGAACTTCCACGCCGCATTATTATTTTCTAAATTACATTTTTAAGTATTTAAAAATGATTAAAAAAAACAAATCTTATGCTATATAAATTAATTAATATTAGTGCTTGCGCTTCAAGGCTTCTAAGAGTTATCTGACTGCCTTCAAATAAGTATCTGCATCAAGAAGAATGATTTTCTATGCCCTCTAGCAATTATTGAAGATTAACAACTTGGCCACTTGCTGTTTACATTCACCATAATTAATTGTTATTTGTTAACTAATCGCATTTGTATTTATGAGATTTAGCCAATGGTTAGAACATGTAAATAGACGCACACCCCCTCACTGTGCAAAGGACAAAAGATACATAAATACAACGAGCCCAAATCGTTAACGTTTGACATTTAACATAAGGAAATCTGCGTTGGGTAAATGCGTGTATCTACATTGACCAGATATGTGAGTTTCCTGCCATTGAACTGCATAATTGCTATTAGACAGTTTATCTGATATTTGTTCACTTTTATTGATTCTTTGTTGTTGATTCATATGTAACTAGGATGCGTTTACATTGTTAAGATTCTCTAAGGAAAATGATTAATTACTTCATTTTCCCTCAAATTAAAATTTACACAATTTCTGATTAATTACTTTTATGACATTTTTGTTTTGAAATTGAAGGCTTTCACTTTCACATTTGGTGGTCTATTTCAAATTTTCAGAAAACTTTCTTCTTGAAATTATAACTATAATGAAATCTTATAGATTTGTACAAAAAATAATAAATAATGAAGAGTGGAAAGATTTCCACAATTGTCCAATTTTCGTAGAGACAACTTATAATTCTACAATTTCTTAGTGTATATTATAATGGTATATCAAATACTACATTATCTCGATTAATGTGAAATCGATCATATACATAATATTATTTTAATATCAATCCAAACTTGTCACGTTTTTGAGTTAGTCTTCATATATTTTTTCATTATGACCCCTGTTGTTCTTGTTTTTCACTTATTGAAACCACATTGGCTTGTTCATTTATTTGGTAGAAATGATTTAAAAATCAACATAAGTAACTGAAAATTATTGAAGAGGCTACCAAGTTTTATTTTGAAAAGTTTGACAATAACTATTCTTGATTCTTCTTCTTCTTGAGTTAGTGCTATTACGCACTTTTACTCTATAATGGCTGGGGGGCTTATCTCTACCCCACACTAGGCATTAACTAGGCTAAAAAAAAAAAAATCATATCATTTATTTGTCATTTAATCTGTAACGGACCTTAAATCAGCATATCTTCCTGAGAGTCCAGAAGTGGACTTGAGGATTGTTAGGGCGGGGTTAATTAGCGTATCAACTTTAGTGATATATTTTTTCACTGAATCAATCCTAAGATCTCTATGTATATCTGTTGATCTAATATACCATGGAATCTTAAACAGTTTCTCTAAAGCACGGTTTTGAGCTATCTGTAATTGCTTAAGGTAGTATTGAGGCTTTGCAATATGTAACACATCGTACAGTAGTGCAGGTCTAATTACTTGCGTATAAAGTAACTTTCTGTTTTAAAGTTGAAGTGATAATTATTAAATAGCGGCTTTAATAAATGTAGAATCTTAGAGCAGCTACTCCGTTTGTATTTCAATTGAACCGTTTGTCAAAAGTGACCCCCAGATATTTTATGTAATCCTCCCACTGTATCTCCGTGTCGCAAACACTCACTCTTGGAGGAGTGATAATAGATAGACATAGATAATAGTAGAGAAAATAAATTTAGTAGAAATAGTAGAAGAATTGGTTTATTGATTATGGTTTCACACATTCTTTTCTAAACATTGGCCATTAAAAATTAATTGAGAAAATCCTTTATAACAGTCTAAGGTAATATATTAATTTAATCAGGTGCGATGAATATTTTGCTTTTAAATAAACAAGAATTTTCTACAAGAAAATATGTTGGCTTCGATTGCTAAAATCTGGATATATTAAGATAGTTGATAATAGGAACAGATATAAAATTCAGGATCGTACAGTAATAAATTAAAGAGATATAAATGATAGTATTCTAATGGGTTAGATTAGATTTAAAGGCGCGTGCTTACGCAACTGTCAGCAATTCCAATCTTAATGTTGCCTGGAAATTCTACTAAGTGATGTACCTATATATAAGCTATATGACCCGTAAACATCTTGTTTCTCTCCAATATATACAAAATTAAACTTATAGAAAGTTAATTTTCTAATACGCATAAGCTGGTCGATTTACTGTATTTTAAAAGAATATAATGTGTTGCTCATTTCACACATATGAGTTCTCCTCGAACTTTCACACAACTTTTTAACACATAAAAGTTCCTTCCTTCAGGAGCTCCTTAAAAGCTCCTCCTGCATAAATCAACTTATACCAATGGAAAGGACCAAATCTTAATTTGATTAACATAAATTATTTTATCCGCAGAGGGGACCAATACCAAGCCTTATACCAAGGTTTCTGTACATTTCGCGAATTGTAGTGTGTTATATTAGAGATATTATTTTAAAAGAAGTTTTATCAATTTCACTCATATGTCAAGAGTAAAAATGTGGTTATGCTTACCCAACGTTTTTTAATCCATATCTTTTATTTTATACTATGTTTATTATGAAAACGAGTATAATACTTTGGTCCATGTCTGTAAGTTTTCGTCATATATCGTACATGTGACTATACAGGCAATATAGTAGCATAATTATGATCCCTGGTTATAGTATGTAGTCGTAATGATGATATCCACTAGTAGCTAAAGGTTAAAATATGTTTAACATAATATATGAGAAATTGCTTACTTAATTTTGGGCTACACGAACTCTTACCAGGTTTCGGCTTGATGCAATAGATCTCTCCAAGTGCCTTTTTCAGTCTTATACATCAGGCGCTATTAGTGTCTAAACTTCATAGCTGAACTTGATCCTCAACTTATTAGTTCTATCGGAGACCTGGCCTTTCTTCACGTCTTTTCCATTTAAATAGTGCTTCAAACACAGTTTTTGCTAGAGCACTGTCAGCCATTCCCAGGATTTGAATAAACTAATGATGCCAGTAAGTGTTGATTCGTTGCATAATGTTAATGTCGTGATAAAGCTCGTATACCTCAAGGTTTATTCGCATACAGTAATCGTTGACAACTCGTAGAGAACAAACTTCTTGTGAAGAAATTTTCTTTTGAACTCTGCCAATGCTGTGATAGCGTCCATGTTCTGCATTATACAGAGTGAGTGATTTGAATGGCTATATTATATTTTATTAATTAAAGTGAAATATATTTGGATGAAGAGTAATCACCCATGATTAATATTTTTCGCAAGTGAATAATTTATGCTTTACCTTCTAGTGAAGCTTACGTTGTAGTAATTGAAAGTTTATTTTTTTTGTTAGTATAGATTTTATTTTTTTTATTAATTTTACAATATCAATTAATAAAAAAAATATAATTTATGCTTACATTTTTATCAAATACGATTTAAAAATAAAATATGTATATTTAAATTTTATAATTTTGTTAATACTGGCTTTTTAAAATTAGGTAAATGTGTATTAGTATCCACCGCAAATTTTGTATACAATGTGTACGTTTTTAAAATAAATCTATTCGTCTGTTGTTGAAATATAAGAATAAAACTATACAATTGGTTCTTTCCGCCTAATGGATGCATTGTGTACTTCCAGTAATTTTCTTTTTTGTTTGCGCTAAAAAGTGCATTTACGTTTTTGGTTGCCGTCCATTAGCTAATTTTGAAATCATTCACTATTCTAGTGAAAAGCCGACACCGACTCTAGTTGCATCTTAGACTGTTATAAATACAAATAAAAATGATTAAATTTAATTAAAAAAGTAGACACGTTGAATTAATACCTTAATGCATTTCTTTTAAAAATAATAGTTCATATTTTAAATAGTTTTTGGAATAAAATAATTAACACTCCGCTGCCACCATTTTTGTTAAGTTTTTATTTTTCGTTAGGTTTTTATATTTCGTCAGGTTTTTATTTTTGTTTTAATGTTTTTGGATAAATCATAAATCAGGCCCGAATCAAAGATTACCGCAACTCTTCTATAAATAAACTGCTTTTTCCTTGAAAAAAACAAAAACGATCATTTTATTTTCTGCTAAAGTAATATAGAATTATAAAACAGATATATAACAGACTACAGCTACCCACGTATAAAAAATTATTCATATTTATAACTAATTAAAAAAAAATATGTAGACAAAACGGAGTTGTATGTTAACCTGTGTTCAGACAAGACATTTATTTTCTATTATTTATATTACGAGTAGTAGTAAAAAGTTATGCTCTTCTTTTTTGATTCAAAGTACATATACATCATTGGAAGATAACTCGTACCATAACCTCTTAGCAATTATTTGAATATCAAAGTTTGCGGGGTTCAAGTTTTGGAAAAAATCACATGTTTAACTGTAACACATCACTCAATACGTCGTGAGACCAACCGGCTGCAGTCCACTCAGATGATGATCGTTTTGATTCCGAAGTGAAGTTATGGATCCATACTACGCAGGGAATATTCCTTTATACCATTCCATAAATCTATCAGTGACATATTCTGTGTTCCTGTAAATTGTATTAGGTAGCGTTATGCTTTTGATTTTGTTAAATATCTCTATCTCCATAGGTACATTTTTCTCCCAACTCCCTAGTGTTATTCCGTTGATATTCTTAATTATCATTATAGTTTTAAATTATGTTTGGATGAAGCTCGTGGTTATATACGATTGCGAATCGTTGGTTTTGTGGAGCTGTTGTAGCGAATTTTTTTGAATACAATAACGTGTCTGAAATATATTTATCAATATCCACTACAAGGTTTTTTTAGTAGTTTTTCTTGAAAACTGTTTCCCAATGTTTCAATCACATTCAATTTTGAGTTTTTAACAATTTTTTCACATACGGCTTTTAATGGGAATAATTTTTATGTAGAAGCACATAAATTTAACTGCGGTTAAAGAATTTTTGTCGTTTATATGTAGTGAACCACTCTATTGCAATCAATTGCCAGAAAATGTTTGGGTTTTATTCATATTTGTATCAGTTCTTTTTACAATCTACTAAATTTAGTCTTAGCTAAGGATTGATGCAGCCATCGAAACAAATGAGAATCAGATAATGAATTTCAAGATTATGCAATGGATGGGTCAAAACTTTCGGATCAACTTTATTCGATCCCAATAATGTTACTACTTCTTTTAATAATACATTGTCAACTCTGAACATAACATATACAATTTTTTAAATGTGATCGTTAAATTGTATATTTTTAATGACATATCTTTGAATTTCATACGAGCACCTTTTCAGTTTTATATTATAAATCTTGTTCTATATATCATGTATATCGTGCTGTCTTCTCATATATTTTATATAAAAGTATTTAAAAATATTTAAATAGAAACAAAATGGTTAAATACTTACATTTTCATATATTTTTCATTGCTAAACACACTTGGGTTTGGTATTAAGTGATTAGTGGAAGATGTCTGGTGTTGTTTTTCTTCTTATCACATCATTAGCTGAAGATTTATACAAACCGCTCAAGCAGATAGCTCAAGCCATACACAGCAATTAACAATGGGTTGTTCAAGACGTTACCACTAATGATTTTACACACTTGGTACAATTACGAAGTATGAAATTCTTTGTGATAATTTTACTGATTTTCGAACTTTCTTGGAAAGGAAAACTGTTTGAGCACTAAGTATGGTGTTGAGACTTCCCACTGGATGCACTGGAAGATACTTCTTTACTTCTGCTTTCTGCACGTCAGATACTTTGGAATTTAAGTTACATGGTTCTGGAGAAGTTACATTTTTGTTAGAAGGATTCACTGTATATATCGGCAAAATTGTTTCTTTTTGTATTGGTCCTCTTAAACCTGCATTAAGTATTTGCAGTAGCATAAAGCATTTCTCTTTTGACAGGCGCCGAGGAAAATATTTAGGATGCATATTCGCATCCCGATACCAGCGACGGCGCTTCATTTTAGAAACTCAAAAGGTAAAGCACTAAAACAATTATAGCCGAAATGATGAAAAGTTTAGGATGTTCCGCCAAGAAAAAAATTTCTAAGAGTAATTTTTGAAACAAATATGTATTATAAAAATTTAAAACTAAATAAAGTATTCAATCGAGTTTGTCAGAAAATTTGAGTTATTCCTGATGACTTTGTTAAAAATAAAATTAATTGATTGAATAAAAAAATCGAATGTGCACCTTTGTCGGATTAGAGTGTTTCTCCAAGTCCGATTTCTTTAATAAAAGATAGTATAGCGTTTATCTTTCTTAGTCCTGAATCCTTATGTTCCATAAAATACCCTCTTAGGTGTTTTTTCCGCTTGCGCATCAGTGGCAGGCACTTCTCTAGCACATGGTATGCGGTTTCTCTCGCTTCTCTACAGTATCTGCAGTCTGAGTTGGATTGGATTCCTACCTTTGTTAGGTGAATATGCAATCTGCAGTGACCGTATAATATTCCCGTAACAATTCTTATGTTATTCTTTGTTTGTTCTTTGCAATCCTTAAAGCGTTTAGGAAATAGAGTTCTCTTTCCTTTTCCTCTGCGTTGTTCATAAGAAAGGATAGAGTTCCTTTGCTTAGACCACAGATAGGATCTGGGCCTATCATTATTGAAGCTACGCTTCTTCTTGCGAGTTTGTCTGCTTGAAAGATCGTTACATGTTTACACTAACGCAATTAATAATAAGGCTCTATATCTGTAAGTGTAAACACTTAGTTATTTGAATGATGGTAAATATTAAATAATAGTATTGTTTCGCATCATTATCTTATTGTATCTAAATGATGTTTAAATTATATTAAATATGAATATGTTATATATAAAAAAATGTTAAATATTATATTAATTTTATGTTTGCAAAAAATTTACATTTTGTGATTATTTTACACCATATCGAGACCTTATTATTTTAAGTTGAAAATTTATTCATGGCTCGCGTTCTCCGGTGTCAAATTTGATTATACAAAGTTAATCAAGTTAACAAATCAATCAAGCACGAATTTATATCGAAATGCACAGCCATTCAAACAGAAGCAGAATACATAGGCGAAAAAGTATCCATGGCTGAGTGTATATATCCGAATATCTAAACACAATGTAACAACCCCACAGTAAAAAAACATACATATAACGCATACGCAAACAATATCGGGTTTTCAATTAAATATTTAATTTTTGGTTACCCTAAAAAGTTTTATAATATTTTTAATTACAAAATTCAACCCACACATACACATACACTCACTTCACTTGCGTTTTAAAATTATCTGCAGGATACGCCGCATATGCCGACAACACCCCGCTCCTTGCGGTTGCGGTTTGCGGTTGCGATTTATGTGGTAATATTTAAAATAAACACAAATGCGCGCAACACGCATTTAAGGACATGTTAAGGACACTTTTTGTTATTAGTTGAATTTTGTTGCTTTTGCTGCTTTTGTGTTTCTGTATTTCTGTTTGCAGTTGTTAAATATTTACTGAAATGTTTAAATAAATTCCCAACTTGTTGTTTTTATTTACGCTCCACGCTTAATATTTATCTATAGTGTTGACAGTGTTTTGTATCTCATTTTCATGTCAAAAATCGTTAGCTTTTAATTATGTGTGCTGTGTCATGGGTTTTGTTTACTATTGAAATGGGCTTCACAGTAGAAATCCTGTTCATCGAGACATGAATATATGAAGCTATGAAGTCTATTAATGAGTGGTAAGAAATGTTCAAGGTTACTACTATATTTATTTATAATTAAAATACAAGTAAAACAGTATTAAACAGTTCTCTTTATTTGGTACTGTATGTCATAAAATAAACTTCGAAGAAAAGTCTATCCTTTAAAAAGAAAAACTTGAAATAAAGGCAAGAAAATAATGAATAGCTCTCTTTACCAAAGTAAAACGCACGCTTTCGAATTCTAGTACAGACTAACTTTATTACCATATAAAATAACAAAAGCTTACATACTAAACATTTTGTGTAATATAACTCATATTGTGTAATATACACTTTAACATATAACACTATAAATATATATATTAATTATAAACATAAGGTCAGTAATTCATATATATTCGATGATGAAATAATGGTATCCTTTGATGTAGTATCCTTATTTCCGAATATACCTGTTGAACTAGCCATTAAAATTTTGGAAAATAAGTGGAATATAATCAAGACATTCACTAAGATTACAAAATCACTTTTCTTCGAAATTTTAAATTTCTGTCTTAAAGAAAATAATTACTTCATGCTAGACAACAAAATTTATAAACAACGTAAAGGCATACCAATGGGCTCACCGTTATCACCCATTATAGCAGATATCGTGATGGAAGAATTATTGGAAAAGTGTATGGATGACCAGGAATATAAACCAAGATTGTTAACGAAGTATGTAGATGATATCTTCGCGATAATACGCAAAAATAAAATAACTCAAATACTTCAAATTTTGAATTCTTTTCACACAAATTTAAAATTCACCATAGAAGAAGAAAAGAATAACAGGCTTCCTTATTTAGATGTTGAATTAATTAGACATAATAACCAAATTCACTTTCAATGGTATAAAAAGTCTTCAGCGTCAGGAAGATTAATTAACTACAATTGTATTTATTGTATGATTTTTCTGTATAATCCGCTATAAAAATGGAATATCCTATATTTTGTGTAGTTTTCCCTGAAGATTACTATCGAAGATAGTCGAAATATCGGAAATAAAGTATAAACGATTTTTAAATATAAATAATAAGTTAGTGTCTTTTTATTTATATTTAAATTTGACCAATTAGCCCGATAACAAATTATTATAATAATAATTTTTGGTCACAAATAAAAGTATTTTATATTAATTATATATATAAGAAATAGATATATAAAATTTTATTTTAAAAATGGAAGTTTTATGATAATTGTATCTACAGTGATTGAAGTGTTACCTATTCAACCGACCATATCTTTTTTGTGTGAAATTATTCTTTTTGATTGAAATAACAAAAATTTGTGGAAATAAACAAAATTTCAGAATCCATTCATTCTAGATCGATGTGACCACTATGACCTTCAAACGGTTAAAAAATGAGTTGCATTCTTCACGAATATGATATACCGGTATTTTGACCTATTTCTGAACAATGGCTTTCTTTAGCGCATCACTACTGACATATTTTTTAGTTCTGCCATAGCTCTCCAAAATGGCCCAGATGAAATTCAATTTTATGAGTTCATAGTTAAAATTGTGCACGGTGTTTTACTTCCATTTACTTCCAACATCCATTGTAAAAGTGTGTCTTGTTTTAAGTATTGAATCATAATAGTATTGATGACAAGCAAGTTTGATGACAAAACATAGTTTTGTCATGATGCTGTCTGGTTTCATCACACAATGGTACAGAATGAAGTAATGTGGCGTCATGGCGTTATCAGACTGAATTCTTAACATGTGACCGAGACTTTTATACTCAGTTGTAAATATACGCTTTGTTGTGCTTTGCTGGAAACCCTGTCATTTTGAAATCTGATCATGGGGCTTACAAGAAATGTGTTAACCTTTATGATTCATTGGATGAAAACTTTACTGTAGAACTAGAACTTTTGGTTAAAATTCCAAATGGAAATTGATTTATAGATAAAATGCTTCACTACGCGTGATTTTCGAAAGAAAATCAAGCAAAAGGTTCTATCTCAAAACTTTAACAAAACTAAAAAAAACTTTAATTCTAAAAGAAAAAGTTTGTTATTATGAGAATAACAGACTACATATTGTATTTTATATGACTGCTTAGAACTGCTCAGATTTAGTGTTGAAAGAGAATATTAAGACAATAACTTTTGATATCATTGCAAATGCAAGAAACGTTCTTATTCATCAATAAGTATACAAAATATCTATTATTTGTTTAATAAGATGTTAAGGTACAAATATACTTTTTAGTTCATAGATCTTATCTATTTGATTCCGTCTCTGGAATGTATTAACATTTGGCAATACAATCAAAAACTAATAAATACTTATTAATATATTACTTTGACCGCAGAACTTTGAAATCAAATTGTGTTTATAATATAAACATATTTAATTTACTAATATGATTGCCAATATGATTACTTATTATACTCTGCATTATTTATTTTAAAAATCTATTCTATACTTTATATTCTGTATACTGTACCCAAACTGAAATCGGGGATATAGTAAAGTTGCTTACTGGTATAAGTACTAGAGAGACATATAAACATTCTCGGTAAAGAGCCGAAATTTCAACATTAGTTAATAAATTAAATTTTTAATTTTGAGCTGCGTATTAATTAAGCGGTTTCAAAAATATTGGACTGAACAAGCCAGCAAAAAATACAAAAAATGCCTTTTTTTTTAAACATATCACAAAAGAGCGACCGCTTATTTTAAAAATAATATATGAAACAACAATACCTCTCGCTTATTTAATTCATTTTTTTTGAAACCGCTTAAGATACAATTTAACTTATTTACTTTTTGATTTTTCTTATAAAAATTTATAATTATAATATTGTACTATAATTATAATATATTATAATGTGAACAGCAGTT